GATCAGCATATCTATATATCACTATATAAAATATTATAAAATATTTAGTACTCTACCTGCCAAAACAAACCCAGGAACTATATGAACACAATTACAAAACACTTTTCACACAAATAAAGTCAGATCTAAATAATTGGGAAAATATCAGTTGCTCATGAATAGGCCAAGCTAATATAATAAAAATAACAATTCTACCTAAATTAATTTAATTATTCAGTGCCATATCAATCAAACTACCAAAAATTCTTTTATGGAGCTAGAAAAAGTAATAACATTCATCTGGAAGAACAAAAGGTCCAGAATATCAAGAGAATTAATGAAAGGAAATGCAGGGGAAGGTGGCCTAGCCTATAAATTGTATTATAAAGCAGCAATCATCCAAACTACTTGTTACTGGCTAAGAAATAGAGTGGTAGATCAGTGGAATAGGTTAGGTACACAAGACACAATAGTCAATGACTATAGTAATCCACTGTCTGATAAACCCAAATACTCCAGCTTCTGGGATAAGAACTCAGTATTTGACAAAAACTTCTGGGAAAACTAGAAAATAGTATGGCAAAACTAGGCATAGACCAACATCTTGTGCTGTATATCAAAATAAAATCAAAATGGGTACTTGATTTAGATATAAAGGCTGATAGTATAAGCAAGGAATAGTTTGCCTGTCAGATTTATGGAGAATGGGAGAATTTATGACCAAACAAGAGATAGAGAACATTATGAAATGCAAAATGGATAATTTTGATTACATTACACTGAAAAGCTTTTGCACAAATAAAGCCAATGCAACCAAGATTAGGAGGGAAGCAAAAAGCTGGGAAACAATTTTTACATCCAGCATCTATGATAAAGGCCTCATTTCTAAAATATATGGAGAACTGAGTCAGACTTATAAGAATACAAGTCATTCCCCAATTGACAAAGGGTCAAAGGATATGAATAGACAGTTTTTAGATGAGAAATTAAAGTTATCTATACTCATATGAAAAATGCTCTCAATCACTATTCATTAGAGAAATGCAAATAAAAACAACTCTAAGGTACCACATCACACCAATCAGACTGGCTAACACGACAAAACAGGAAAATGATAAATGTTGGAGATGATGTGGGAAAATTGGAACACTAATGCATTGTTGGCAGAGTTGTGAACTGATCCAACTATTCTGGAGAGCAATTTGGAACTATGCCCAAAGGCATAGTTATATAAAAATGTGCATACCCTTTGACCCAGCAATACCACTTCTTGGGCTGTATCCCAAAGAGATCATACAAATGGGAAAAGGACCCATATGTACAAAAGTATTTATGGCAGCTCTTTCTGTGGTGGCAAAGAATTGGAAATTGAGAGGATGCCCATAAATTGGGGAATGGCTGAACAAGTTGTGGTATTTGAATGTAATGGAATACTATTGTGCTATAAGAAATGGGGAGCAGGCCAACTTCAGAAAAACCTGGAAAGACTTGAATGAACTGATGCTGAGTGAAGTGAGCAGAACCACGAGAACACTGTACACAGTAACAGCTACAATATGTGATGACTAACTTTCATAGACACATCTCTTCTTAGCAATGCAAAGATCCAAGACAACTCCAAAGTACTCATGATGGAAAATGCTGTCCACATCGAGAAAAAGAACTATAGATTCTGAATGCAGATCAAAACACATTATTTGCTATCTCTTTTCTTTCCTTTTTTTTGTTTCTTCTTTCTTGCGGTTTCTCCCATTGGTTCTAATTCTTCTTTACAACACAGTAATGTGAAAATAGGTTTGATATGTATGTATTGAATGTATATGTATATCTAGAGCCTATATCAAATTGCATGCCTATCTTGGGATGAGGGGGGAAGAGATGGGGAGAAAATTTGGAACTCAAAATCTTATGGAAATGAATGTTGAAAACTAAAAATTAATAAGTATTTTTTTTAAAAAGGGAAAAAAAAGAATAGTCCAAATCACTAATAAAAAGAAAAATGGAAATAAAAACAACTCTAAGGTTTTTTACCTCAAACCCAGCAAATTGGCAAAGAGGACAAAAGATGTTTTGTTGGTGTTGTTGGTAGAACTGTTAATCAATACAACCATTTTGTAAAGCAATTCAGAATTATGCAAATAAAATTATTAAAATGCCCATACCCTTCGACTTAGAAATTCCACAAGCATATACCTCAAGGAGGTAATTGATAAGAAGAAAGCCCCCTTGTAGACCAAAATGTTTATAGCAACATTTTTCTGTGTTAGCAAAGAACAAGAAACAAAATAGTTATTCACTGATTAGGAAACAGCTAAACAAATTGAGGTATATGAATGTCATGGAAAATTACAGTGCTGTAAGCAATGACAAATGTGATGAAAACAAAGAAGCATGAAAAGCTCTATATAACTGATGCAGAGTGAAGAAAGCAAAGCCAAGAAAACAATATATACAATGACTACAAAAATGGAAATGAATAGAATGACAATCACAAAATAACTAGAAGTAAATGTTGAAGAACTACAAAAAGACCAAGCATGGCTTGAAAGAGGAGATATGAGAAGACACTGCCCTCCACTCCTTTGCAGAAATGAAATTCAAAGTAATGAATATTGTATATGTTTTCAGACTCTTTTTGATGTATTGATTGATTTTGCTCATTTTTTTTCTTTAAAAATATTTATTTTATGGAATGGCTCTCTGGGAGGGGTAAAAGAAGGGATACCAATAGAAATTTAGATGATGTAAAAACAAAAGATGTCAATAATTTTTTAAAAGTTCTTGATTTTTTATTACTTGGCAATCTTCTTCATTGCTAGTCACTTTGCCAGGGTAGTAGCTGATACCAGACACCAGTAGCACTTGTCAGAAGTCATTTTGTCAATGTTCTTCCCATTGACAATTTTGTATGGGATTTATCAACCGTCTAGGCCCAGCACCACCTCTCCTTGTTTCACTTCCCATTTTGCCAAGGAGAAGTGTGTTTCTCCTCTTACAGGGTTGTTGTGAGAAATAAATGAAGTTAAATACTTAAATATAAATCTCTTAAGTACTATGCAAATGACAGTTATTATTACTAAAAGTACATTTTACTGATGTTTTCTGTCATTACATCCTAGTCACAGTCTAGAAGAACCCCACTCCTTTCCAGATTATACTCTTTTTTGTCACAAAGAAAAACTGTTAAGGCAAAAACTCCATGATATAGTGATAATCATCTGAAAAATTTTCAGCATTCTGCCCTAGAAGTCCCCCGCTTCTTTGTCCTGTCAGCTCCAAACTGTTGATATGGTAATAAGTTGATCATAAGGATCACAGATTTAGAAGTAGAAAGACCTTGGAAGTCAAGCAACAAGCATTTATTAATCGATTACTATATGCCAGACACTGGGAATACAAAAACAAGCAGAAAGAAAGTCTCTGCCCTCAAGAACTTTACATTCTGATGGGGGAGGGGGTGACAACATATAAAAGGAAGCTGAAAAGTTGGGGGCGTAGCAGCAGAGATGATCAAGTATTATGAAGAAAGTCTGGGAGAGTCAGGAGGGCAGCCTATAGATAAATGAAGACATGGCTGGCCTTGGACTCCTTCTTAAAATGAAGTTGCATGGAACCAGCTAATCAGAGGGAGATGCCAGAGAGTCTGGCACTTCCAGTGTAGGAAGTTCAGGGGCAGAGTTTGCTTCCAAGGTGAAGAGGTTTCTGGGGCATTGTAGAGAAAGTCCAGAGAGTTAGGAGTACCTCCAGAAGAGGAATGAAATCAGTGGGGTAAGCCCCCTCATTTTGTACATGAGGAAACCAAGGCTTAAGAAAAGTTAAGTGACTTGCCCAATGTCACACTAGTGTCCGAGAAAGATTTGGTAATGTACTTCCTAAGTCAAGTCAACAAGTATGTATTAAGTACTTATTATTAGCTAGACACTGAGCTAAACTGAGGATTTAAAGAAAGTCAACAAACAGTCCATGCTGTCAAGATCATTAAATTATCTAGCCCCAACTAAAATCCCACCTTCTACAAGAAGCCTTCCCAAACCTTAATTCCAGTGCCTTCATTCTTTTAATTACTTGCTATTTATCCTGTATGTAGCTTGCTTGTATATATGTGTTCACCTTTTGTCTCCCCCATCAGATTTATAAACTTCTTGAGGGGCAGGGTCTATTTTTTGCCTCTTTTTTTTATCCCAAGCACTTAGCACATGTTCAGTCGTTCAGTGGTGTATGACTCTTCCTGACCTCATTTGGATTTTTCTTGGCAAAGATACTGGTTTGCCAATTCGTTTTCTAGCTCATTTAACATATGAGGAAACTGAGGCAAATAGGGTTAAGTGGCTTGCCCAGGGTCACACAGGTAGTGTCTGAGGCCGGAATTGAACTCAGGAAAGTCTTCTGACTCCAGGCCTTAGTACTCTTATCTACTGCCCTCACCTAGCTGCCCAAATACTAGGTGATTAATAAATGTTTATTGATTGAGACTTGCTAACAAATATGTAAAAAAACCCACCGACAACAAGAGATATATGGATAAATGGAGATAACAATCAACATTGGGAAGGAACTAGCATTTAAGGAGATAAGGAAAGGATTCTTGTAGAATATGGGATTTTAGCTGGGCCTTGAAGCCAGGAAAGCTAGGAAGCGGAGATGAGGAGAGTTGTTCAGGCATGGGGCACGTCCAGGGAAAATGCGCAGAGTGGGGAGATGGAGTGTGCCACGTGGAACAGCCTAAATAAGGTGCAAAAAAGACTAGAAAGGAGAGGCGGCCAGATTGTTAAAGGCTTTAAAAGTCCCTCCCCCTAATCCAGAAAGCTGGAAGGGCAGGGGTGTCGTTATACCATTTCATAGTCCAAGGACAACCCTCAAAGAATGTAACAGGTAAGGGAGGGGCGAGGTAACAAATTTTTCCTCCCCTAGCAACCGTTGCTACAGACATGGAAGTCCCGCCCCGCCACGTGTCTCCTCCACCTCCCCCTCTTCCGCCGGGGCTGCTTACGTATAAAGGAAGCGCAGAGCCCGGAGCCAAGTCAGGGTTGTGAAAGCCTGCGATGGAGGCGGTGGCTGCTGTCGTATAAGGGACGCGACGAGCCAGGAGCCAGTCCGGGCTGTGAAAGCCAGCGATGGTGGCGGCGGCGCCCGCCGGACAGGGCGGCGGGCGCTGGGATGAAGGGAGTGGACCCTGCTGCTTCGGCCGCCTGCCTCCCCCACCCGCCGCTTGGCCCGGGGCGGGAAGCCGGCAGTGGCTGCTGCTGCTGCTGCCGCTGCTGCTGCTTTCGGGCCGGGCTGGGGCGCTGGTAGAGGGGCTCTACTGCGGCTCACACAACTGCTACGACGTGCTGGGGGTGAGCCGCAAGGCGGGCAAGGCGGAGATCGCCCGCGCCTACCGGCAGCTCGCGCGCCGCCACCACCCGGACCTCGTGCGGCGCGAGGGCGCCGACAGCGAGAGCCTCGAGAGCGCGCAAGAGGCATTCCTGCTGGTGGCCACTGCCTACGAGACCCTGAAGGTGAGCCGGGGCCGGGGGAGGGGAGGCCGGGGCCGCCGAGTACACCGCAACCCCTCGCCTCCGCCGCCGCCGTACCTGCCCCGCTGGTCCTGGGCCCGCTAGGAACATATCGAGTCCCTGCAGAGAAACACTGTCCCTCTCACCTTGTGTAATCGTAGGCACTTCCTTCCTCAGTCTCCTTCTCTGAAAAATGGAGGGGTTTATTAGATCATCGATTCCGAGCCAGAAATAATCAGGGATTTCTCCGGGGCAATAGAAAGAGGGCTGGATTTGGAGTCAGAGGAGCTGGAGCTAGTCTGTCCAAACTTGTCACCGGGGAGCTACGAGGATGAGCTAGTTAATTTCACAAATGCTAGTGCCTTCCCTCTAAGATTACCTGCAGTTTATTCTGTATAAATCTGATTTATGCATGGTTGTTTGCATGTTGTCTTTCCTCCATAAGACTGAGATCTTTTATAGCAGGCACCACTTTTTTTTTGCCTTTTCTTTTTATACCCAGAGGGTTAGCACAGTGCCTGGCACATTTTGTTGTTCAGTCATTCAGGGTCCGATTCTTAGTGGCCCCGTGGATCGTAGCAGGCCAGTATTGTCTATTGTAGTTTTCTTGGCAAAATGCTGGCGTGATTTGCCATTTCCTTCTCCAGTGGATTAAGGACAACAGGCTAAGTGGCTTGCTCAGGGTCACACAGCTAGGAAGTATCTGAGGCAGAATTTGAACTCAGGTCTTTTCTGACTCCAGCCCGAATATTCTATCTCCTGAGCCACCCCTGCTGCCTCCAGCTCAGTACCTGGCACGTAGTAAGTTTAACAAATGACTTCTTGCCTTGAGACTTGACTAGATTTAAAGCCCCGCCACTTATTACCTGTGTGACTTTAGGGAACTTAGCAGGACAAAGTTTCTCCACCTATAAAATAAGGAGACGAGATGACTTGCCTAAAGAATGAACAGGTTAGCAAGGGGCAGACCTGGGGATTCAGTACTAGACAGTCTCCAAGGTCCCTTCCAACTCTCAGATTCTTTGAAATCCTGGTGACAAGTTCATAAATAAACGTTATTAAGCCTTGTCTAGACGACTTACTGTGATCCCAGGACTTTTTGAACCTGTTTCCTTATCTATAAATTGGTGATAGTAGTAGTTGTACTACCTATTTTTCACGGTTATACTTTAAATAACAAGGAAATCGCTGTTCTTTGGTAGGATGTTGGTGTCAATAAATATTATTAGGATTGATGTTTTTGTTTTGTTTTATTTTTTAAATCCAGCTTTAGGGGTTGGAAAGGGAGAGTTTTCTTGCATGGAGACCACTTGGGGGATGAGGTTGTATCTAGGGATAAAATGGTCCCCAAGAATCCCCGGCAGGGAATAGTAGGTGAATGTTTTCCTAACATTGAAGCAGAGAAAAATTTGGCCCAGTATCAAAGGCAGTAGAAGTACCTTTTAGTAAAGAGTATTCCCAGCAAAATGACCTTAGGTAGATCAGGTAAAGAAGAGAGTATGGGTGATACTTTTTGACATGGACATGAAAGCACTTCTGCCAGTGCTTTGTCTAGAAATAGCCTAAAGTAAGTAAGGGTATTTAATGTGTCACAGACCCCTTTTTCGCTTTGATGTTTTATTTTAAGACAATGGTTTTATTTGAGGGCAGCCTGTATTTGGACTGTGTTATTATATATATTGGGTTTGAATCTGGAAATCCATATTTTATTCTGTATTTATTTTGTTATCTTGAGCATTTTCTTCCATTTTCCCAACTAGACCTCTCATTAATGACTCTAAAGTGTACTAGCACGGTTAACTGTAATTCATTTGGCATGAAGGAACACTAATGGAGAACATCACCATTACATCCTCGAACCACTGGAATGATGCAATGAATTACCAGATCACCAAACTACATTGAATTGAGACTGGGATAGACCTTTCCATAATAATATAGATCGACTTTTCTATAAAGACACACAAATATCTTGGGTTCAAAATCCTTTTCACACACTTAGTAGCTGTGGTTTCCTCATTTCTAAAATGAGGAGGTTGGACACGATGGTCTCTAAGATCCATTTCAGCTCTAAATCTGTGATTGTGTTTTATGATTTTTTATGGTTATAAATTTATGATTCTGTATTACCACGGTAAGTTAATATTTTTAAGCAACTTAAAAATTGTGTGATTCTTTCCGTATCTCCTGTCCCTTTTTTTTACTACTCTGCCATGATCACTGCAGAAGCAGAATGGGGTGCTTAGCAGTGAGGACCATTAAAAAATTATTTGTTGCAAACACTAGGGTCTTTAACGAGAAGGTCAAGGAATTTAAGTTTGGGCAGCCTCTTTGGCCAAAGAATTCATCCCATAGATACCTAGTGGTGATTGAGCCTCTGTATGCTGAGAGGCTGCTTCCTCTGTCACTGGGATTGTACTCAAAGATTTACCTTTCAGGAACACAGGATTGCCACAGTGAGGCACTGGAATGAAACTTCTGTGATAGATACATTTTTTATTTATTCATTCATTTATTATCTGCAGCTTCACGAACAATAATTCCTTTTTTTCTGTTCATATATGATACTTTAAAAAATAATTTTAATTGTACTAGTGATTTCATCGTTCAAACTTCTGAAGAGGAAATTTTCTCTACCAGTGGATACTTGGTCTCAGAGAGTTACTGAGGGACACTGAAAGGTTAAATGATTTGCCCAAGGGCACAGAGTACATATAAATGTCAGAGCTGGTACTTGGATCTTTTTTTGACCCTGTTTATTATACTGCCCCGTCTCTCTTGTAAGATACTAGACATTTTAATTTGGTTCGCTCGTATAATAAGCTCTACATTCTTACATTTCTAAACTAACAGAGGGTCTTTGTAATTGCAAAGACCACACAAAAAAAGTACTTGTATGTTTACCCCCAGAATTCCCTTTCCTCTCCACCAAAAAATTCCCTGCATTTTTACATGGTTTCAGAGTTTCCTCAACCACATATTCCAATATCATTCTCTCCTATGTTCAACTTTGCATTAAAGACTTATTTGTCTAAATCTGAAGGCAGGGAGCCATAAAATAAGATACTTTTTACTTGTTTACTTAATCTTTTTAAATATTTACAATAGTAGATTTTTTTTGGGGCATCTTTACCCTGAAAGTTTTGTAAGCCAGTGAGTAAGTTGAGAAAGAAGTTAGCTGAAGGACAAAAACCAGTCTTTGGAACCTGTTACTGACAATTTTCTTTCTTTCTTTCTTTTTCTTTTTTTAAATTTTGAGTTCCAAATTTTCTCCCTCCCTCACTTCCCCCTTAAGACAGTAAACAGTTTGATACAGATTATATATGTGCAATCATGTAAAATATATTTCTGTATTAGTCATGTTGTGAAAGAAGAAACAAACCAAAAGAAGAAAGTCACAAAAGAAGTAGAAATAATATATAATAATAATATAAATATAATATAAAAATAATAATATGTTTTGATCTGCATTCAGACTCTATCAGTTCTTCTCTGGATGTGGTTAGCATTTTCCATCATGAGTCTTTTTTCCCCCTTTTTTAATTAAGTAATTTATTTTTAGTTTCCAACAATCACTTCCATAAGCTTTTGAGTTTTAAATTTTCTTCTCCTTCCTTCCCACCTCCCTCTCCAAGATGGTGTGCAATCTGATGCAGGCTCTACATTCACATTCCTATTAAACATATTTTCATATTAGTCATATTGTAAAGAAGAATTAGAACCAATGGGAAGAACCACAAGAAGGAAGAAACAAAACAAAACAGAAGGGGAAAAAAGCAAATAGTATGCTTTAATATGCATTAAGGCTCCATAGTTCTTTCTTTGGATGTGGTTAGCATTTTCCATCATGAGTCTTTTGAAGATGTCTTAGATCATTGCTGAAAAGAGCTAAGTCTATCAAAGTTAGTCCTGGCACAGTGTGACTGTTACTGTGTACAGTGTTCTCCTGGTTCTGCTCGCTTCACTCAGCATCAGACCATACAAGTCTTTCCAGGTTTTTCTGAAGTCTGCCTGCTCATCATTTCTTATGGAACAATACTGTTCCATTACATTCCTGTACTACAACTTGTTCAGCCATTCCCCAACTGATGGGCATCTCCTCAATTTCCAATTCTTTGCCACCACAATAAGAGCTGCTATAAATCTTTTGTACATGTGGGTCTGATAATTTTCTAAACTGGTATGCAATACAAGCTTGGGACAGTTCCCCGTTGCTTTTATTGTTTGAAATTGACAAGAATCTCTCAAAGTCTTAAAACATTTTTTCTTTATTTGAGAACATTTAGAATGTCATTTTTCCTACTACATGTTCTAATGTATGTTATGTGGGCAATATGGACTGGGCTGTGAAATTGACCTTATAGATCACTCTTGGATGTGAGAACAATCCAGTCATGTAGCCCCAGAGACATTCAACAAACTTTAGTAAACACTTGCTATGTGTTATTTGGTGTTATTATGGAGATAAAAAATGAAAATCACTCTGCATTTTACTGAGGGATATGAATGAATAAAATAAATAGTGCAGTTGGAATTTGAACCCAAGTCTTCTGAGTTCAAATCCAGTGCTCATGATGCCTCAAAGAAATTAATAAGTGTAGCCTATGTTAATAATGTTGAATTCCAGGGGAGTATTTATTTTCATATTCCTAGTATTTAATATTCAGCATTTATGAAAAATAATTGATGAAGGCTCTTTGGTTTTGTGGAAAGAACTTTTCCAATCTTAGTAGCTTAAATTCTTAATTATAACAGAAGCTTAGTTTTAAAATTCTAAAGTAATTTTGTTGTGCCAGTGAAAATTAACACATACCAGGTTATGAAATGTTCCAGATTTCACATATTAGACAGTTGGAGATGTGAATTGATAAAATGTCTTATCTTGCATTTTGTAGGATGAAGAAACACGTAAAGATTATGATTATATGCTGGATCATCCTGAAGAGTACTACAGTCATTATTATCACTACTACAGTAGGCGGTTAGCTCCTAAAGTAGATGTCAGAATTGTCATTTTAGTCACTGTATGTGCAATCTCCGTGTTTCAGGTACATTTTTTCTTTGAGCATTTGAACAGTACTTTATGTTATGCTGAGTCTGCATTTTGGAACAGATATGCCTGTGTAAATTATGTATACAATTAAGTAAAGTTTTATATTCAATTTTAGATTAAATTTTGCCTTTGTGGGGAAAAAAATTTGTTATCCATCTAATTGAATGTAACTATTATTTATAAAAAGTTTTATTTTTTATTTTTGTTTTTTAACACTGTACTTAAGCTCTTATCCCCTTCCCCCCTCCACCCTATTGAACCCTTCTTTGTCACAAAAAAATGAAACAAAGCCAACTAACACAGCAGCTGTGTCTGATAATTTATACCACCTTCCATACTGATAGGAGGTGGGTATGATTCCTTAACAGTTTTCCAGGACCAGCATTATTCATTACAGGTCATCCTAGTTGGACTGCTTTTTAAGTATTATGTTCACATTCTTATAGCCAGACTCTTCCCTGACCCTGCCCAATCTTTTCTTCTGATTTTACTTCCTCAAGGTTTTTCTTTCTTTTTTAAATCAAATGATCATTGATTTGAACTTGGGGCCCTTCTACATCTTTAGATTATCAGTGTACTTAAATATGGACTTGAGGATTGAATATAGTTCAGTTCCAAATGTGGTTTGCCTATAGCAGAATGCAGTGGAACTATCACCACTTTATTACTGGATATCACTGTTGATATATTTTTTCATGTTGTGCCCCTGCCCACCTACTGAAACCCTCAGACCTTTTTCAGACAAACTACAATCTAGCTATCCATGCCTCCCTCTTCTCATGTTTTGATGTTTTGAATCTAAATGAGATTTCCCCCATTAATCCCTATTAAATTTAGTCTTACTAGATTTGTCCTAATGTTATACCTTGTCTAGATCTCTTTGGATCCTGCCTATCATTTGGTGCATTAGCTAGCCCTCGTTGCTTTGTGTCATCTGCACATTGGTGGATCAGGGTGCCATTCATCCTTTTATCCGAATCAGTAATAAAAATTTTAAGCAGCATAGCACTTAGTATAGGTCCCTGGGGCACTGTACTAGAAGTATCCTCCCAAGTTGACATGGAACCATTAATGACTTTTTTTGGGTCTGATCTTTCAACCAGTTCTGAATCCATCTAAATATACTATTCTCTAGCTCCATCTTCTCCATAAAATAATATGAAATTTTACCAAATGCTTTGCCAAAATAACTTTATAATTTTATAATATATTTTTTGCCAAAATCTACTTATATTTTATATTTCCTTGGTCTCTGACTTTAATAACCATGTTAAAAAAGGAAATAAGATTGGTACAACCTTATCTTTATGAAGTTGTCCTATGATCCCTATGATCACCTTTCCTTTTCTAGTTGATCACTAACTTTCTAAAAGTGTATTCTGGAATTTTTCCAGGAATCAAAATCAAGTTCGTTGACGATTTTTTTTTCTGCAGGCTGCATTCCTTTCTCTTTTTTGAAAATTGAGACAGTTGCCTTTCTCTAGTGCTGTTCTCAGTGATCCTCTTCCATTCTCTCTGATCTTTCAAAGATTTCGAAGATGATAATGGCTTAGCAGTCTCACCCTTCAGTTCTTCAAGTACTCCAGTATGTAGGTTAGGTTGTCCAGGTGGCTTGAACTCAAGGACAAATAGATGTTCCCTTATTGCCTCATTATTCTGGATATCAATTCTGTTAGTCATTTTTGCTGTCTCTAGTCAAAACCCCCCCCCCCAAAAAAAACCAAAACAGTCATTCTCCTTGAAAACAGAGTAAGGGTTGAATAAGTGCCTTCTCTCCATCAACCCTCATTGTCTCATCTATCCTAAGTAGAGGTGACTCAGATTTTGTACTTACCCTCAAAGCTTTTCTAAAAACCCTGCCCTTTTTTGCTGTCATTAGCTCTCTTCACTTGCCTCAGCTCATTCTGAGCCTTATTACCCCTAATACCATTTTCACTCTATGATGTTACAATTTTGCCTTCATTTTCTTCTTGTACTTTTCTAAGTACTTCTTTACTTCACACACCCTCCCCCCCACCCCCAGCCAATATTCCTATCTATTCTACCCCAACAGCTAATTTCTCCCTTTTGGTGAGAATCAGATTCTGAATAGAAATCTCCTTGTTAGGTCCTTCATCTTTTAAATGATGCATTTATCGTTATTGCAAGTCAAGATGTTATTTTGTTTTGGCACAGAGAAGAGTCTCTAGCTTCCTCATCTGTAAAATGAGCAGGTTGGATTAAAAGTCAAATTCTGGACTTCAGAAGGTTCAATTTTTCTCTTTCCATTAAGAACTACGAAATGTTTCCTTCTTACTAATCATGGTGGAAAAACAATCTGGTTTCTTCCGTGTTTTATCTCTTCTTTCCATAGCTAACAGCCTCTATACACTGCAATTTGGAATATTTTCTTCAGGAGCTCTGGATAGCCTCCTCAGTGCTTTGAAAGCATCTGCCACACTGCGAAAAGCCATTCTTCCATTCACATTCAACACAAAGTCTTCCACCACCATGTTTTGTGTAAATCCATTGAAAGTTGCCTTTCAAAGTTTGAAAACACTAGGGTCTTTAACCAGAAGGTCAAGGAATTTAAGTTTTGAGGTACTGCGAGGTTTCTAAGCCCATTTGCTTTGAGGAAATGGTTATTATTTACAGGTGCTTATTTCATAATATTGAGACAAATATTTGCCTTTCTCAGAGCTTTTTTTGAATTGTAATTTTAATCTTTAACATTTTTCTCCTTTATCTAAATGCATCAAAATATTTTCTTCTGAGCACAGGAAAAAAAATCAGTCATGAAGTGTACTGTTTTTAAGGCAAGATATGAATACATGAATGTAATTGCAACTCTACTTTGCTATACGATAAATCTTTTAATTTGGGGAAAGCAAGTATTCAAATTTAAACAAAATTTAGAGCCCATTTATTTCTTATTTGTATGAAATATTCATTAACATTGACATTTAAGTTGAGTATCCAGTAAAATATGGAAAGTTTTGTGGGCCAGTTCTTGTACTTCAGAGAACTGGAAAAGTTAGAAAGGATTTTTTTTTTCTGAAAGACTTGACTTTTTGATTTCCTTGCTTACTGTTGACTTTGCTTATATTTTTTGTAACTACTTCTTAATAGAATTCATTCATAATTTTAAAAGAAATTATTCAGGAAAAGAAAAGTGTCTGAGGCTGGATTTGAACTCAGATCCTCCTGACTCCAGGGCCGGTGCTCTATCCACTGTGCCACCTCATTGCCCCTCAGATCAAGTTTTTAAAAAAAATGATAATAAGCAGTAAACATAGGAACACCGTCTATTCACCATATCTTTTTGTCAGTTGTGTGATGGTAAATGTGTGCCCACTGTGGAATGTAAACACATCCAGGATAGTTTGATTAGAGCACAAGTGTCATAACTCTGTTGTCTATGGTTGAAAAATTTGTTTCCAAAAAATCTTTGCAACTTTACATTTTTATTGCTCGTTGTTTTTTAATTTTCATCTTCTTCTATGGGTAGCAGTGCGTATTGTGGAAAGAGTACATCGACGTTCAGATCTTTCAGCTGCTGTACTACCCTGGACAAGTAATTTGACCTCCCAGGGCCTCAGTTACCTAATCTACAAAATGAAAGGGTTGGACTAGATTGCATCTGAGATAAAATTAATTTTTTTATTAATTTATTTTGAGTTATCAACAATCACTTCCATAAGCTTTTAAGTTTAAAATTTTTCTCCCCCTCGTTCATACACCACAATTTCTTCAGTCATTCCCCAATTGATGGGCATCCCCTCAATTTCCAATTCTTTGCCACTGCAAAAAGAGCTGCTATAAATATTTTTGTACATGTGGGTCCTTTTCCCATTTGCATGATCTCTTTGGGATACATACAGCCCTAGAAGTAGTATTGCTGGGTCAAAGGGTATGCACATTTTTATAGCCCTTTGGACATAGTTAGATATACAATTCTTAAATGCCCTTGGGAGGATTTCACTTAGATCTGTCACCAATCAGTTTTACCCTTTAGTATTTTTCTCTGTTTCATGAGGTAATTTTAGACTCTTTGTTATGGCAATTGATTTACAGCATTTAAGCTTATGTGTGAAGTTATTATAGTCAGTGCCAGCCCTTTTTTCCCTCCGTATCAGTAATGCATCTAAATAGGTCAGGATGGAGTTTAAAAAATTTTCACAACAAATCTTTTTTTCATTTTGATCTCCTACCTTTGTCATTTTTGCTCTAACAAATTGGCCACATAATTAACTGCTCACTTGGGATTGACCCATCAGTCTTTTGTTTGTTAAAATTTAATCAACTTTAAATTTGTGATGTTACTTGATTTTCACCATTTCTAGTGCCTACAGATTTCCTTTTTTATTTGTTTCCCCCTAGGCAATGGAGTTAAGTGACTTGCCCAGGGTCAGCTAGTAAGTGTTACATGTCTGAGGCCACATTTGAACTCAGGTCCTCCTGACTCTAGTGCCTTGCGCTCTATCCTCTGCACCACCTAGCTGCCCCAGATTTTCTTCTTCAACAAACTGTCTTAATGATGCACAGGTGTAAAATATCTGTGTAGTCTAATCTTTTGCCTGTCTTTTGCCTACTCTTTTGTTCCTGAAACTTCTTTTCATCCTAACTTATTCCCACTTTTGCATTGAAGTTACTTAGTATCAGAGTATATGCTGATTTAATTTGGAGGGTCTTACAGAGATTCTTCATAGAAATTTCCCTGCCAGTTCATTTGTGATAGATGTTGCTGCACATGTGGCAGTGATTCACAGTGGTCATTTTGCAAATATTTGTCATGAAGCACTGCAACATGAGATGATCAAATGTCCCACAGAACAATGTTTCTTTTTGTCTTCGGACACATAATAAAATCAATTCTGTGAAGTCTTTTATTTGGTTCTCTTGGAAGAACCTGTGAACCATCCTATCTATAACCAGCAGTTTTAGCTGCTTAGCTATAACTTCTATCTATTTGTTGTTTTGTTCATAGCAAGAAGGTCAAGATGGACAGTTATTTTCTCCAGTTGATGTCCATTCATTGGTATTTGGGACAAGGATCTCACATTTAGAGTACCAAATGCCAAGTTAATATTTATAAATGGTCTAAAAATTATGTGATTGTTAGAACCTTCTGCCCCCTTTTCTACCTCTCAGGCATCATTTTGGAAGCCCACTTAGGGCCACATCAGACTGAGGACTACTTTGTATTTTTTTTTTTTGTTCTGTGTTCATGTATGAACAATTTCATTGCTGAGTGACTGGCGTACTAATGCCAGTCTAAGAATACTAATACTAATAATACTGGGCCTCTGTAATTGGCTAGGCTGATGGCCAAGTCATTCTGTTGCTGGAACCACACTCAAAGCCTTTTCAGCATTTGCTTCCTCCTGACGTAGTCGTTGAGAACCCCATAGTACATTGGAGGGAAGGGAGCAAGGTTTCGTGGAGAATTTTGTGTTTTTTATTACTGTGTAGTAATATTCCATTGCATTCATATGCCATAATTTTTCAGTGATTCCATCCACCCCGTCATTGAGCACCCACTTTATTTTTATTTTTTGTTGTAAGCTTTTTTTAATGCATTTTATTTTTCCCCCAATTACATATTTTTATAGATTCATTAATTTATTTATTTTTAGTTCTCAACATTTACATCCACAAGATTTTGAGTTCCAAATTTTCTTCCCATCTCACCCCTTCTCCATCCCCAAGACAGCGTGCATTCTGAATACTCTTTCCCCTCATCTGCCCTCTCTTATCTTCCCCCCCCCTTCTCTTGTCCCCTTCGTCTTCTGTTTTCCTGTAGGGCCAGATAGATTTCTTTACCCCATTGCCTGTATGTCTATTTCCCAGTTGCATGTGAAAATAATTTTTTAGCATTTGTTTTTAAAACTTTGGGTTCCAGATTTTCTCCCTTCATCCCTCCCCACCTACCCTCATTGAGAAGGCAAGCAACTCGATGCAGGTTATACTTGTGTAGGTGTGCAAAACACTTCCATATAGTAGTCTTGCTGTAGAAAACTAACTATATTTCCCTTCATCCTATCTTGCCCCCCCATTTATTCTGTTCTCTCTTTTGACCCTGTCTGTCCTCAGAAGTGTTTGCTTCTGATTACCCACTCCAATTACATACTAAAATAATTTTTCAACATTTGTGTTTTTTTTAAAAAGTTTTGAGTTCCAAATTCTATCCCTCTGTCCTCCTTCCCCCGTCCCTGAGACAGTAAGCAAGCAGATATAGGTTATATGTGTGCAATCATGGAAGACATTTCCATATTAGCCGTTTTGTACAACAAGACTTGAATAAAAGAAAATGAAAGAAAGTGAAAAATAGCATGCTTCAATATGTATTCAAACAATATCAGTTCTTTCTCTGGAGGCAGATACTGTGCTTCATCATTAGTCCTTTGGGATTATCTTGGATCATTGTGTTGCTGAGAATAGCTAAGTCATTCACAGTTGTTCATTGAACAATATTGCTGTTACTGTGTATAACGTTCTCCTGGTTCTATTCACTTCACTTTGTATCAATTCATATAAGTCTTTCCAAGTTTTTCTGAAATCATTCTGCTTGTCATTTCTTATGGTGTAATAATATTCCATTACAATCATATACCATAGCGTGTTTAGCTATTCCCCAAATTGATGGGTATCCCCTTGTTTCCAATTCTTAGCTACCGCAAAAAGAGCTAATATAAATACTTTTGTACAAATAGGTCTTTTTTCCCTTTTTTGGATGTCTTTGGGATATAGACCTAACAGTGGTATTGCTGAATCAGAAGTTTTATAGTCCTTTGGGCATAGTTCCAAATTACTTTCCAGAATGGTTTTATTAGTTCACAACTCCACCAACAGGAATACCCACTTTTCTTCCAGTTCTTTGCTATTATAAAAAGTGAGGCTATAAATATTTTTGTATATATTAGGGTTTTTCCTGTGCCTTTTACTTCTTGAGCAAGTATTTGCCCAGTAATAATATTCCTGGTGAAAGATTGTGTGTGTGTGTGTGTGTGTGTGTGCGCATACACATATACTCTTTTATGTATTATTTATACCTTATATTTTTACCAATTTTATTTAATTTTAGCCTTTTTTAAAAAGCGTTTTGATTTCCAAATTCTCTCCCAGCTCCTCTCCCACTTGTTGAGAAGGCAAGCAATATGATGTCAATTATGCATGTGAAATCATGCAAAATGTATTTCCAAGGAGTATGTATAGTGACTTTTCTAGCTAATTTCCAGTTATGCTCCAGAATAGGATGACTTCGTAACTCCAGTAGTGGGTCTGTAGTCCCATCACATCTCCCAGTAGTTATTTTCATATTTTGTCATCTTTGCTAGTCTGTGGATTTGAGTTGAAACTTTACTCGGTTTAAAATGCATGTTATTCTTGGTGATTTGGAATATTCTTTTCTCTTTCTTCTTGTGAAAGCTGCCTGTTCATTGTGTTGAACATTTTTGAAAGAGTATCTCAACCTCAGGAAGACTGCATATCACCATGGAATGGAATTGTTTGTGTGCTAGAGAAGATCTAGTACTTCTTTACCTTTTAGCCTCTTTCTCCCATGCTTAGAAAAGGAGAAGCCTTGATATAAAAGAGAACTCTGGAGGTGTGGTGTAGTGGAAAGAGTGCTGGATTTGGAGTAAGAAGAAACTTGGGTTCAAATCCTGCTTCTGACACTTAATAGCTAAGTGACCATGGTCTAGTCAAGTGGGGTGGGGAACCTGCAGCCTCTCGGCCACATCTAGGTCCTCAAGTGTGGCCCTTTGACTGAATCCAAACTTCACAGAACATATGCCCTTAATAAAAGGGTTTATTCTGTGAAACTTGGACTGGGTCAAATGACTGCACCCAAGGACCTAGGAGGCCTCAAGTGGCTTCAAAGCCGCAAGTTCCCTACCCCTGAGTCAGCTTTTGGTTTCTTATCTGTAAAGCAGGGGTCACTTTACACAGCCTTTGTAAGAAGCTAATGGAATAAGGTGCAGATAATAGGCTAAGTGTTATATGGTGGCTATTATTGTTATTGTTATTACTATTATAATATTTCTGTAGACTGTCTGGGGGGCAGTATGTTATAGCGGAAAGAGCTTCAGAGTTAAAGTTAGAGAACCTGGGTTCAGGTCTTAGCTCTGACACTTATTTAAGTGTGTGACTTAGAAAAGCCAGTTAGTGCTTTTGTAACTGTAAAGTATGTCAAGGTAAGCTGTTGCTGCCACTGAATGTTCATATATCATTTCATAACTGTTTGAAATCAGTCTTAATTTTGTCTTCCCATATATGCAAGACTGTTTCTGTTTAATATAGATGAATAGTTGTTGGGTGGTTTTGGTTACCAGCTAACTTTTTGTTGCTTAATTTGGAGTCTATATTTTCAAATAAAAGTGACTGTATTTTCCTTATTAAATATTTGTAGTTTTTCAGCTGGTGGAGTAGCTATAATGAGGCCATCAACTACCTAGCCACCGTGCCAAAGTATCGTATTCAAGCTACTGAAATTGCCAGCAGCAAGGGCTGCTTAACAAAGCCAAAGAAAAAGGCAAAAACAGACGATCCAAGGAAGAAATCCGTGAGGAGGAAGAAAACATCATCAAAAACATTATAAAAAGTAAAATAGATATAAAAGGAGGCTATCAGAAACCTAAAGTATGTGATATTCTACTATTTCAAATTATTTTAGCTCCTTATCACCTGTGTGCATACATAGTCTGGTATTGCCGGTGGATTTATCATTTTAATATCAAAGGTCAAGAGTATGGAGAAGAAGAGAGGCTGTATCTCATACGTAAATTTATGAAAATGTCAGAATCTCAGTTTGACAGTTTAGAAGATCATCAAAAAGAAACTTTTCTTGAACTGAAGCTATGGATAAGAGAGAACTATGAAGTGAGTAGCTTAAACTGTTTTGATAATTTAATATGTTCTTTCATGCTATAAGTAGAAAGATACTTAATTTTCTTAAAATGTACAGTTATCCTTTCCACATTGAGGGGGTTAGGAGTATGGAGCCCTCGCAGTCTAGAAAATCTGCTAAAATTTTTTGGCCCTCCCTTTGTACTAGAGAAGAAGTCTAGAAGAATTTTCATATGGCATTATCTGTATATCAGCCAAAAATGATTCTGAAAAATTCAGTCTGGTCTGATTTTTCTGTGCCATTCATAGTAACAAAACTGCAGTGGGTAGGTAAAAACCGCATTACTTAACAGTTTGCACAGCAAAGTGAATTAACCAGATTTTCAGGCCTGGTTCACTTTATCTGACCTGCTTCAGTTTTGGAACCTGATTTCAAACGTTCATTTTTAATGAAATATAATCAAAAGAATGGTTTGTCATTCCAAAATTAGTGAAAGTAAGAAGTAGCTCAAATGCTTGCTTAGTTTTTAAAGTGTTTTAAAATAATTTTCTATTAATGCTTCCAAAAGGTATACCTACAAGTATAAATGTTTCTGAAAACCTAGAGATGGATATCAGCAATAATATAATTAACCATTCTTTGAGGAGTCAAAGGTGCAATTCATCAGACTCCTAATATTCATAATAATAATTCATAAGCTCCTAATATGTGCCAGGCACTGTGCCTAAGCCTTGGGGATACAAAAGTGAAGTCCTTCCTTGCCTTTACGAAATATGCATTTTATGGGCAGCTAGGCGGAGCAGTGAATAGAGCTCTGGCCTTGGAGTCAGAAGGATGTGAGTTCAAATCCAGTCTCAGATACATGTCACTAGCTGTGTGACTGTGAGCAAATCACCTAACCCCGATTGCTTCACCAAAAAGAAAAAAAAATGTACATTTTATTAGGGAAAGTAGACCAGAGGAAACAGTATAGAGAGAGAAGGCCCAGGACAGAACCCTAGGGCATAGCTTTGCATAAGGGGCAGGATGTGCATGATGGTCCTGCAAAGTATACTGAGCAGAATTGGGTCCCTGAGTGTATTTTTCATACATAAAGGAGAAATGCTTACTTCTTACCAGCTGTCACTTTTCCCATGTTTTCTTCAGTACCAATGATTTTCTCTATCCTCAGTTTTCTCATCTATAAAATGAGTTCATTAGATTAGATGACTTCTAAGGTCCCTTACATTTCTGATATTTGTTGATTCTTTATCTTAGTGCTTTAAATGGTTGAATAAATTTATATTTTAAATATGAATGTAGCATAGGAAAACCTGATTTAAGTAAACTGTCTGTGATTTCGTGTTTTCTCCACTTGCATGGTAGTGTTCTTTTTGACAGGTGGCTTTCTAAAAAAGTTTCACTATATAGTAAAATATCAGTCTGATTATGTACATTAACATAACTATATTTTAATTTTTAATTGTATGGAGCAAGTGGACTTAACTTAGACAAGTATTGTAGAATGTTTTTGTATGTTAAAAATGTGTTCAACCTGTTTAACAAATAGATAAAAATTAGTCATAATTAGCTCATTGTATATTAGTGAGTTTTTCTAAGCTGAAAAACTTATCCTCTGAAGTATCCTCAGTTCTGGAATCTTATGTATATTATTGAATTTGAGAGGGAAACTGTTACATTTTAAATTTTAGAGGTTTTTCCAGGGTAGGATTTCGTTTGTCAGAATTTTCAGGCTATTGTGAAAACCCGTGGTTCATAGCCCAGTTTTATGGGCTAAAATCTGCTTCCAAGATTTTAGAGAATGATGTGTTTTGCATAACCAGTCTGTTAATATAATATCATATAAGATAAATTTCAAAGCGTGTATGCTGTTACCTTAAAATATCTGGAAAAGTGAAAAATGCAACTCCATTTAATTTTGACATTAGTAGATATTATATATCGTGCTTTTGTTGTTCCATTCTGTTCTCAGCTTAATGTGGGATTTATTTAGTTTGTCTCCCTTAGTTCTTAGTTTTAATTAGCCCTTAGTTTCTGCCAAAAAAAACCCCAAACACAAACATTTAAAAAACCATTCAAAAATGCCATTTTGTTATACTAATTAAAATAGAAAAGCCGTCAGTTAAACATGGAAACTGTTAGTTTGGTGGTGGGAAAAGTAAAGTTGCTCTTTAATGGCTATTAGCCCAGGACAAAAGGAAATGCTTAAAACTTTAAAAATTTGTGTCACATGTTCCATTAGTGAACAAAAGACAAAAGTCCAGATAGAAAGAAAGTTTTATGTTCCTCTCGCTAGGGAATCACTTTTGCAAAAAAGCCTGCCTTTATTTTATTTACAGTGCTTAAGTGTACTTTGGAAGTGCTTATGATCTCTGGTTAGACAGTCTTTTAAAACACAAACATGTCCCTTGCAAACTAGATTAGTTTTCCACAACATGCTAAATTAACTGTGACCAATTTTTAAAAAGTCTCATGTGACTCTGGGCTCTCAAAGGCTATGCTGGTGGATTGTAAACTTCAAAGACTTCAAATACTTCCCCACTACCCACCTTTCCTCTGCTCTTTGAAAACTAGGCTACCTCAGGGTGGGAGCCATGTAGGCCTACAGTTTATTAGTTTTCTTGGCTCCATGAAACGGTCAGAAATACGAAAGTGTGGGAGGGTTGTAATGGGAACTGGGGGAGGAGGTACTCATATCAAAATGTTGATAGATACATCAAAGAATTTTGAGTTAGCAAACTGGTATCCTACTATTTGTAATTAGGGAGGTCACTTCATCCCAGTGCTCATATTGTGTGTTTCTTTGCAGGTCTACAAACAGGAACAAGAGGAAGAGCTAAAGAAGAAAAAGGCAAATGACTCTCGATGGAAGAGATACAGGAGGTGGATGAAGAATGAGGGACCTGGCCGTTTAACTTTTGTAGATGACTAACTATTGCTGGAATTCTGTATACCAAACCACAATAATTATAAAATTATTTTTCATAAGGGAATTATTTTAGAAAATTCATTCATTTCCAGTAACAATCTAAAATTCAGGAAGCATCTGATTGAACAAAATGTGAAATCTGAAACATACATAAAACTATTAATAAGACATTTTAAAAAATGGTGTTCAGTATTTATATTCCACATTTTTTGTGGGTCTAGTGCTTTCTGTTAAATCTTCATGCTGTGTCTTCTATCAGATACTGTTTAAAAACTTAACTGATATGTACATGGTTTTCCATTCTAGAACTTTTCTTGCTTTTCTGTTATGTTGCTCATTGCTCTTCTCTATCCTCATATTTTTCATAGAACTTTACTTTAAAAAAAAGAAAATCACAACTGCAGTTAATTACTGATTTGTAAATTTGTCCAAAAATCTCTCCAGGAGAGTAATTCTTCTAATGTATCTTTTTTTTTTTACAATCATTAAGATTGAAATATGTTTTTAAAAAGTCTCTCCAGGAGAGTTTCCTGCTATCATGTCCTCGTGACATGGTCTTTATTGCATTTGTTATAAGATTGTAAATGTGATCAGAAACTCTCCAGGAGAGTGATTCTACTCTCATGTCCTCGTAGGATAATCTTTATTACAGTCATTATAAGATTGTAAATCTTAAAAAGTGAAAATCAAAGTAAGTAAAAAGTGAGTCCAAATCAAAAGTAAGCGAAAATCTCTATAAGAGAATATATTGGTCTTTATTGTGACCATATGGCTTGATTACTTCAGTAATAAAAATATAATTCTTCTTCAAAAATGAAAATATGAAACAAAGAGCACAAAAACTGCCCCTAAAATTCTGAAGCCCTTAAGTTATAGGGAATCATATTTAGTTGTGAGCACTGACTTAAACATTTTGAAAATAGAATGAGGAGGTGCATGAACATGTATCAGTGACATTAACCAGGGTGTCAATACTATGTGTTAGGCAGCAGAACAATGAAATAAGTTGGCTGCACTGGAGATTTCTTTTTATAAAAAATACTTTTTGTATATGAAAGTGAAAGTATTTGTTTGGTAACAACCCAGAACATACAACTTTAGTAATTGTGGCATGTAACCTTGCACTAAAGTGTCAGTACACCTTCATCAAGGTAAGCTGATTTTCTTGTTAAAGGGTTTATTTCTTTGCTTTATGTAAATAAAATGGTTTGTTATATTACAACTTGATTTGTTTGAAATTCTAAATTAAAGTAACTTCTATAATTTAAAAAAAATTGACTAACATAGCACAGAAGTGTAGAACAAGGTTCTATAGTTACAGACTAAGAACTCTAATAACAATGTATCACAGAATTTCAAAATTGGAAGGGAGGTCGGAGGCACTCTGGTCCAGTTACACCTGAAAAAGGATACTCTCTGCAACATCCCTGACAAGGGTATGTTCCTTGAAAATCTCAGGAGGGTGAAACCCACTACCTCTTGAGACAAACCCGTTCCTTTTCCAGTTTATCTAATTGTTAGGAATTTTTCCCTTACATCAAGTCCCAGTTTGCCTCTTTGCAATTTCTACCCAGTGCTTCCATTTCTTCCCTCTGAGGTCAAGCAAAGCAAGTAAAATCTCTTTTCTACTACATGTTAGCTCTTCAGATACTTTAAAGGATCTATCATTTTTTTTTGTGAGTCTTCTCTTTTCTAGCCTGCATGCTCCTGACTCTTTCACCTGCTTCTCACATGGCAAAAACTCAAAGCTCTTCACCAGCAAGGATTGGTCGCTATCCAGATGATCTCTGTGGTGCCCAGAACTACACAAAATACTCCTGACTAGGTCTGAGTACAAGTGGAACTATCATCTAATTCTTCAATGTTAGGCCTATCAACACAGCCCAAGATTGAATTTGCTGTCTTAGCTGCCAAATGATACTATTAACTCATACTGAGCTGGTAATCCACTAAAATCCCTAGATGTTTTTTCGTAGGTATTACTGTCTAGCATGTACTTTTGGGAGTTGATTTTTTTTTTCAACCAAATGTAAGACATTTTCACTATTCCCTATCAGATTTCTTAGTAGATTTGATGCAGTCTCTATGTTACTGATATGGTCTTGAATCTAGATTCTGTCAGCTAATGTGTTAGCTGTTCTTCCCACCTTTGTGCCATTTTGATAATTTGATTAGCATGCCATCTATGTTTTTCTCCAAGGCATTGATGAAAACATTAATAAACAATACAGGGCCAACCACAGTTCCCAGGGCTGTCTTCTACAGCAGTGGTTCTTAATGTGTGGGCCAGGGATCCCTGTATGTCCCTGAGACCCTTCCACAAGGTCTATAAGGTCAGAACTATTTTCATGATAATTCTGAGGCATTTTAATTTCAAATATGGTAAATATCAATAAATATAACCCAGATAACAACAGGCTTTTTGAGCAGGGGGATCCTCAGTTTTCAAGAGAAATTTGAGAATTGCTGCTCTAGAGTCTAGAGACATCTAAATTGATGTCTAACTACTAATGACTACTGTTGGGGTCCTGACATTCAACCAGTTGTATTTACAATTATCTAGTATTTTGTTAAAATATAGATAAATTATATTTACACTGTTGCCCTCAATCTGCCATTTTTGTTAATCTTGTCAAAAAAAGGAGCCAAGGTGTGTCTCGCATGACAGGGTTATTACATGATGAAAAAGAAAGATAAAAGTTATTAATAATATTGGTAATAATTGCAAAGTACTTGGGTAAAAAGATGAATTGTGGATTTATTGTTTTTTATAGACCTTGAAGAATCAGGATGGGATGGGTAGAGTTAGCTGCAGAGGGAATACTGTTTTCTAGAAAGCTACAAAATCTGTAAGCAGAGTTTAATATAAAATGCCCAGCTAGTAAATTTTAGATGAATACCTCCTATATATATCATAGACTTCTATAAAGTCAGTAATCCCCGTAGATTAACTTGTATTAAGTAGCCTTAAAAGTTTACTATTATGTTAAATAATACTAAATCTTTGAAGTTTTAACTGTAACCAAATATTAAAAGCGTGCCCCTGTTTTAAAGGCCAAAAGTAAATATTATGAGCTCTTCTGTCCCCAGTAGAATTTCAAGGTTATTTCTTGTGTTTTTTTCTTAGTGATAGGGAGAGCTATGGGATGCTAATAGGTTAGTATTGCAAAAAGTGCTACATATTTTCTACCTTACTTTTAGAAACCTTAGCTTTGGATTAAAAAGAACAGTTCTACTCATGGAAGGAGGTGAACTGTCTCCCTTCTTCCCAGTTCATTTCATAAGACATAATCACAGCTAAAAAAAAAAGTGACACTTGTATGGTGCCATTAGATTTTGCAAAGCACTTTACATGTTATTTGAGTTTCGTCATAATGCTGTGAGGTGGGTACTATAAGTATACCATTTTGCAGTTGGAAAGTAAGACTCCATGAATTTGAGTGACCATATCCACCACACCATATCCATATTACTATGATGCCTGTGGGCTGTTGATGGATTGTTGTTTTAGCATTCTCCCAGCCTTTTGGCAGGATTGCATTTCTACTATCTCATAAAAAGCTCTTTTAAAAAAAAATTCAAAAGGATTTTAAGAGCCTATCATTATGCACTCCATTGGCTCCTATATCTCCCACAAGTAGAAAGTTAGTAATGCCCAATTTAAATCTCATCTTTCTGTAGTTGAAATCTATTCCTTTTTGCCATTTCTAGTGAACATAGTGAATATCCCTAACTGTTCATTGTTTTAGTATTACAATATCCCTTTATATAACTTAGGTTTCATTAAGACCAGGCCATGAACTTTTTTCCGGGTTCATAGGAAGATCAAAAATCATCCAAGTCTAATCACCTCAATAAGTCCATTTATTATAGTTTTTCATAGTCTTCAGTTCTCAAACATTTAATACTTGAGATTATTCCTCTTTAGGTTCCTTTTTCTTCATATTGTGTGTGGAGGTCCGTAAGTCTATGTCACCATGTTATTCCTATTTAAACATTTTTTAAATGCCTACTTACAATAAAAAGAGAGGCAAAAGATAACCCCTATCCTTAAGGAGCTCACAGTCTACTGGGGGGAAGAACAACAAGAAAACATGTAAAAACAGTCTGTATACAGGATAGAAAATGAGAGGAAAGGCACTAGAATTAAGAAAGGTTGGGAGAGAATTCCTGTAGAAGACAGGATTTTAGTTAAGACTTAAAGGCAGCCAAGGAAGACAGGCAGAGATAGAGAGGGAGAACATTCTAGGCGTGGGGAACAGCCAGAGAAAATGCCCAGAGCTGAAAGATGACTGGAAGGGGGGTGGGGGTGGCTAGGTAATAAAGAACTTTGAATGTCAAACAAATTTATAATTGATCCTGGAGGCAATATGAAGCCACTGAAATTTATTGAGTAGGGGGTGACATGATTAGACCCATGCTTTAGGAAAATCATGTTAGTGGCTGAATGAAGAATGGATTGGAATGGGGAGAAACTTGAGACAAGCAGACCCCCCCGATAGGCTGTTAGGAGTAGTCCAGGCTTGAGGTGATGAGGGCCTGGACTAGAGTAGTAACAATGGAGATAAGGGGGTGTATATGAGAGATATTGCAGATGTGAAATTAGTAGGCCTTTGCAATAGATTGGATATGAGGGTTGAGAGATAGTGAGGAATCAAGGATGATATCCAGAGCCTGAGGAAAATGGTGGTACCCTCAATAGTAATATTAAGTTAGGAGGAAATGGGAAGGGTTTGGGGAAAAGATCAGTATGTTTTTGGACATGTTGAATTTAAGATTTCTACTAGACATCCAGTTTGAGATGTCTGAAAGGCAGTTGGAGATCCAAGATTGGAGGTCAGCTTAGAGGTTAGGGCTGTATAGATAGATCTGAAAATCCTCAGCATAGAGATGGCAATTAAATTCATGGGAGCTGATGAGATTGCCAAGTAAAGTAGTATAGAAGAGAAGAGGGCCCAGGACATATCCCTGTGAGACACCTCTGTTTAGATGGTGTGATCTGAATGAAGATTCAGCAAAGGAGACTGAGGAGTTGGTCAGGTAGGAGGAGAACCAGGAGAGAGTGGTATACTGAAAACCTAGCGAGAAGAGAATCATGAAGAAGAGGGTGATTGATATTGTCAAAAGCTGCAGAGAGGTCAGGGCAAATAAGGATTGAGAAAAGACGATTGGATTTGGTAACTAAGAAATCATTGGTAACTTTGGAGAGAGCAGTTTCAGAAACCAGATTGTAAAGGGGTTAAGAAGAGAGTGAGAGGAGAGAAAATGGAGGCACCTGTTGTAAACTATATTTTCATGGAATTTAACCACAAAGAGGAGGAAAGATAATAATTTAACAAGGTGACTCCATTCCTGCCTGACTTTTAGTTGCCGTCATTTATACTTTCAGCTACACATGTTATGGCAAAGGACAATGAATCCTTGTTAAAATTAGAGATAAATGTTAGCTATGTTAAAAGTATTAGATGTGCATTTAGAAAATAATTCACTTTTCCTTTGTAAAAATCCAAGGTCAAAGCCTTAGAGATATTTTTCTTGGAGGATGCCATCAAGATGGAATACTGTAAGCCTTATAACAGTGATTGATGGCCCCACATTTAAAGTTCAGAGGAAGTTAGAGAGGATTGACTTTTATTTGACATTTATCAAAGATTCTATAGTATGTGGTGCAGTTAAAACAATTCTTAGAGTCAAGTGACATGGATTCAACTTCAAACAGTAGCTTTGTAATTATGGTCAAATCACCTAACCTTTTTGAGGTCCAAGGTCCTTACCTGTAAAATGAGGATTAGTAATGCTTATACTGAAGGTAATGAGGCAATAACTACATAAATCACAAAATACTATGCAAATGTGACTTATTACAAAATTAACCTCAGTTTTTGCTTAGTGATATTGGCATCTGAATTTTGGGAGTAGGGGATTGGTTTTAATAGCAAAGTGTTAGGATTATCCTTAATTAAATAATGGATAAATGTAAATCTTCCTCATAACTTTCATTCAACTAATCTAGCTTAAGGACTAAGTTTAGGTTTTCTGCAATTTAAAAAAAGACAGACTTTGGAATGGACAGCCAATGGGACTTACAAAGTCTCTTGCTCATCAGATGTATTCTTTTTATGTGAAAAGGATTGGTTGTGAAAAGGGGGAGGGGGTAGAAGGTATATGTGTGTGGATTTTGAGGGGTAATATTCACAGGTTAATAAGTTCACAAAATAAATG